GGAAGGAAGGAAGGAAGGAAGGAAGGAAGGAAGGAAGGAAGGAAGGATTGATTCTAGTGCTACTACTCATTATATCTGGATGGAAAATTCCAGATAATGACAAGATGATAGCAAAGACATCTAGAAACAAATTATCCTTGATGCCATCTAGTGGAAAAAATTATGCAATCAAAAAAGGTTAATTGCATGATATGGTTTTTATCTGAAAACTCTAAAAAAGTTTCAGAATGACCGAACTCTGTGTTCTGCGAATAATTTGTGCTTATCGTGTATTGAACTGTATTTAACCCATAGGTGCTTTTTCAAGTAGCAACTGAGCTATTTTTCATTTTCTCAAAAACATTTCACTTCTTGGATGAGAAGCGAAATGTCTTCGAGGAAAAACCAAGGAAGTCCGGTCGCATCTTGAAAAAAAGCACCTTTGGGACACCCGTGACCTGGATGGCTGAGAATCTCCATAAGGCATTGAACTGTATTTAACCTTTTTAGATAAATGTGTAAGTCATTCTATTATCTTGGTTTCTAGACTAGAAAGAAATAAACACATTATGTTCAATGTGAGTGATTAATACACAATAGGCAGTAGAAATCTAGTGAAAGGGAAAATATCTTAAAGTAGCTTAACAAAAGTTGTTCCTCGTGTGACAAAAAAAACCCCAACAACATTGAGGCTTTGCAAACAAACGTCTTAATAGGGAAAATTCCATAAATAGAGTATTAAAATGGAAAATGCCCACATTTACTCATCTTCTAATTTATAGTATATCACTTCTCAGGCAGGATATAAAGCCTACAAAGAACAGGAAATGAGCCTTGAGATATTCCAGCCAAAGGCATTTTTACTGTTAAACATTAAATTCAGAAATGTTAATTATGCCTAGAAACAAACCTTTGTTTATTGTAAAATTGGCACAACCCTATGACCCACCTCAGTTAGCAGTTGTTGTATTTTGCAGCAACTGCAGTGCTTGAACTATTTGCTAAAAGACAGGCTCACATTTTCACTCTGAGATGTAGTGCTGGAGACCAGCTTAGGTGGCTTCAAATAAATATTGGACCAATTCGTGGAAGTCATGGGGCTCCTTGCTGGCAAGGCAACTGCATCTGGTGGAACACTTGTGGGCTCCCTTGGGCTATTGGTTGGCCATTGTGATGGAATGTGTATTGGAGGAACAGTGGAGGACAATCTTGGTAGCACAGAGAGGAGGTGGTACATTCCAGAGAGAAGCCTATATTAAGAGACTGGGCAGTCCCAAGTACATATGGGGTGTAGGCAGAGGTGGGATTTTAAAATGTTAGCAACCATTATCTGCCCCGTTGCTGGGTGAACATGGCCATGGTGGGTGTGGCCTAGTTGGCCTCCTGCACCATGGCAGAGGCATTTTTGCCCTTCCCAACCTTCCGGAGGCTTTTCCCCAGGCCTCCCCCGGGCTCCGGAGGCCCTCCAGAGATCGGGACAGGCCTTTTTCCAGCCTTCCAGAGCCCCCAGGAGGCCCATTTTTCACCCTCCCCAAGCCTCCACACAGACCCTACACTTACCTGCAATCCAAAACAGGCCATGTGGGGACTCCTGGGAGGGGCATGGTGGGGTGGGTGGGGCCAGCTAATCGTTGGGAATACCGGTTTGGCGAACCAGATTGTAAAATTAACATCCAGTTCACCTGAACTGGTCTGAACTGGTTGAATCCCACCCCTGGGTGTAGGGAGAGGGAGAGGTACAGGGTAGCCACAGTTTAGAATCTCTCGGGATACATCTATCAGGTGGAGGACTATAGATTTAGTTTGGCAAGATTCTGTCCATTAGGTATATAAACAAATAAAGGATTGCATTCTTGGAAATCAATGCATCTTCTATGGGCTTGGACCTCACAGTCACTGTGAAAACAGACTACTAAATGGGCTGGAAGTCTAATCTAACAGGGCACTGCTTATGTTCTAATAGACCTATCTAGTAGTCAGATAAATCAGATGTTATCAGTTCAAAGATAATTTGCCCAAGCAGTCTGTGTCCAGGAAGATTGCAATTAGCTCCTTAGCAAGAGTAGTGAAAAGTAGTTCAAGACAAGGGTGTGGAAAAATTAGAAATAAGGATAGCATTGATATATACACTCATATTCAGGATTACTGATCTGAGCAATGTGGTGGCCTAGACTTGGAGCTCTTGCCTCATAATGAAAAGGCTGTGAGTTTGATCTTAGGTAGTGGCAGATATTTCTCTCTGGGTGCAAAGATAAAATATCTGCTGCTTCACATAGGTGTCAGGAAGGGCATCTGGCCAGTAAATACTCCAGCCCAATGCAAGGGATTACCTGGTCATTAAAAGAAAAAAAAATCCAGGATTGCTGATCTAACTTTTCAAGGGAAAAGCCATGATACCCACATGATCCAAATGGATCATTTGTCCATGCCACATTGATCTTATTTCAACTGATTTTTCAATTTATTGGTTGCTAGTTAGATTTTTCATACATGTGCATGTAACTGTCCAAATGCTGCTATTTGGGCCCAATTCAAGGATGAGTAGGTTGACCCATGTTTACTATATCTGCACATATCTCCTTTTTGATTAAGAGTAGAAATACCACTCTACATCAGGTAAAGATGGGGCTTGGTTATGTACGAGTTGCTCAAATTAGTTGCTATACAAGTAACATAAACATTCAAACAGCACAATGTTTAGCACCTAAAGCTGTAGACTCCCATTGTGATATTTGGAAAGGGGGTCAGATAACAAGGAAGTGCTATGCAGCTGAATGTCTTGATAGATACTATATCTCAGAAGCAAGGCTCTTGTTGTTTTCCTTAAATGTTTCTTTCCTAGATTTGTGCATCATTGTCCTGCTTTTCTTCCTCTTTGATCTTTGTAACTCTTTTCTTTACAGTCAACCTTCTTTTCTTCAGGGTTTTCCGCATCATGGATGACAACAAGAGCAGGACCCTGGATTTCAAAGAGTTCGTGAAAGGGCTCCATGATTATGCTGTGCTGATCGACAAAGATGAAGCTGAAAAGATTTTCCAAATCTTTGACAAAGATGGGAATGGAACAATTGACTTTGATGAATTTCTCCTAACGTTAAGAGTGAGTTTTAAGCAACAACAACAAAAACAGTTTCCCACATTATTGCATGAACATGCTATATCATATCCAACTCTACCATGGTGTGTGGGAAAGAATTTAGGAGACCAGGTGAAGAGCTGCTGCCCAGGGGAATGGTCAGATAAGAGACAGCATAGCCCCAGGGGTGGGATTCTACAGGTTCGCACCTATTCTCTAGAACCAGTTGTTAACATTCTAAGCAGTTTGGAGAACCAGTTGTTAGAAGAAATTACTGTCCTAATCCTGTAAGGAAGGCAGGAAGGAAACATTCTGGTGTTGCTTACAGAAACTCCCTCTCCATTAACCCTTATTACATTCTTGGCAGGACTAGACTTCCTGTCTCAGGAATGTCTCTGGAGTTTTTTCCCCTCCTTTGCTGGTACTTTGCTTGTGTGGAGTGACCATTCAAAGTTACAATGGCACTGAAAAAAAGTGACTTCTGACCATTTTTCGCACTTATGACTGTTGAAGCATCCCCCACAGTCATGAGAGGCCAGGCGAGGAGATGCGTGCCTCGATGTGAGTGATATTGAGTTGGCCACACCCAGCCAATACCATGACCACCAAGTCCCGCCTACCAACAAAGCCATGCCCACAGAACCGGTTGTTAAAAAAATTGAATCCCACCCCTGCATAGCCCACACTGGATAGTGGGCAGAGCAAAAAGCTCAGAAGAGACCGTCTCTAATTCTCCCTGTAAAGGAGATAGTAGAGGGGTCCCTAACCCCCAGGCCACAGCCCAATACCAGGCTCTGTCCTATTCAGAATTGGGCCACATGAATGGTTGGCTGGTGAGTACGTACACATGCAGCTCAACTTGCTCAGGTGGCAGGCTGGTGTGCACTTGCACATGTGCATGTCAGTCTGCCACTCATGCTAGCCCATAGGAAGTGCATGCGCACACAAATGCGTGCACATTCATTCACATAGCCCAGTTCTCCTCCCCCCCAGCCAGAAAGGTTTCAACTGTTGAGATAGTAGAAAAAATGTAGGTACTTTCAGACTTGCAAGATGCTGTTAATATACAGTAGCTTTACAGTGAAGTAGAATTAACTCATCTGGTTGTGTTTCCTGTCTCGTCTACCTGGTAAAGCTAAGGAAATTAGTGCATTTAGTGGACAAACTTGTTTATTGGTATGGGGAAATAACTTGGGGAAATCCCTCATAGGTGCTGCTGGGAACCTAACCGGAGCATTTCAATGTCAGTGTTAAATGCTGACACTCTTTCTGGGTACAGAAATCTTAATGCTTCACACACGCAGAAGTCTACCAAGAAGTGCTTAATTGCAATGGAAATGAGCTCTCCACATTTGAGTCAAGGTCAGGCAGAATGAAGTCGGGGCAGATCTGATCCAGGCATTTGGTCTGTGCAATGCTAATTGATTGCAGATCAGTGCTGTTGTGGACCCATTTCCACCCACATTTCCTATCAGCTAAAAAAAAAAGATGTTTCTTCTAAGAAAAGGAAGGACAAATATGCATTCAGTGGAATTAACATGTATACAACAGCTTAAAAGAAATCATTTTTTTCAAAATAAAAAAGTCTGGATAGGAAGAAGTGATTAACTGAGATTTTAATTCACTGGCTGATATCCCTCTCAAATGGGTTGCAAATCATGTAGGGAGACTTAGATAGCTGGCTTCTGTCAGGTACCCGATTATATAAGTATTACAGAGAAGAATTTTAGAGCCTTTAATGTCAAACACTACACTGGCTTTCGACTCCATGAGACACAGTAGATCAGGGGTGTCAACTCGATTTCATTGAGGGCCGCCTCAGGATTGTGTTTGACCTCAGAGGGCCAGGTGGGCATGCCCAGGGTGGGTGTGGCCAGCATGACATCACTCATGTCAGGGGAGCCTGTGGTGGCCCAAGCGTTCTGCCAGCCAAAATGGAGCCCAAATGGACTGCATGGAGAGGCACCAGGGGCCAGTCCTTTGCTGTTTCCAGGGCAGCCCTACGGGCCAGATCTAAGCACCCTGCGGGAGGCATCTTGGGCCTTGAGTTTGACACTCCTACAGTAGATTGAGACACTAGGTAAAATATGATCTATTATTGCTTATACTGTGGTCCCCAATTCGGGTCTGAGCCTGGTGCCAAAGCCAATGATAGACGCCAGACACGAGATGCAGGTTTTCTGATTGCTTTTTATTGGAGTATTCCAAGGAAAAGGGCTCCTGGCCAAAATGCCAAGAGCCAAGAACAAAGGATTGAGTAAGTTTTATACATTTTCACTAAAGGGGAAGGTGGGACAAAGTGAGATAATAAATATCATCTAATAAACATTTTAGTAATAATTCTACAATTTGTTCTATTGGTCTCAAGCTGTCCCTATTCCCAAGTCTTGGCTAATGAATGCCCTAGGAATTATCTAATTCTAATACACATCTGATTTGCTGCAGACCTAACTTTTAGCTTAGGTCTGCAAGTTGGCTAACTCATGTTACTTTTTTCAGCTTTCCAATTAGCCAGGATTGTTACAAGATTTACACACGCATATCCTCCTGTGGATAAGCATTCTTTGTTCTTGCCAGACAGACTCCACAATTACAGGCTTCCTGATTTACTTTGAAGTATGTGTGCCATGACCTGGCTTTCTTTTAGCAGATGGTCTATCAAGATGCTGTACTTATCTTTTTTGAAACCCCAGTTTGCTGCCTATAGTTGTGTCTGTGAAATGGACAACCATACATGTCAATTTCAATAAAAAGAAAGAAAGAAGTCCTGTTATAGGCCCCCTGCAATCCCGCACATGCTCTTTCTATATCTCCCCACATCTCTATCCATTCTGCTTTCCATCTTCTTTCAGCCTTCAGTCTTAAAGTGAGTGGTATACAAATATTATTTGGAAGCCAGCAGTGCTTCCTTCCCATCACCAACTCAAAAAAATCACTGTTTCAGTTAGAAGGGAATTGAGCCTGAATAGCCAAATCCCAAGGAACAACCAGCAGACAGCAGTGGAATATAAGCCAGGAGACTGTTGCTCTTTTCAAATACAAATGAAAATGATAGTAAACTTGTGGAGAAGGTTTGGTAGCTAAATGCATCAGATGATGCAATACAGCACTAGTTCACAGATGATCAGTGATCTGTGCATACCTGCATCTGATGTATTTCCTCCAATAATATGGTGCACATCATAATAAATAACTGGAATTATCCAGATGCCCCAAAGCACCATTTTGGAAGGTATGAAATTAGCCCAGAAACTAATCATGATTTGCACATAGCTAAATGTCTATGGAGATTCTCAGTCATCTAGGTCATGGTTATACCCAAAGGTGCTTTTT